ATTTGACCGCTTCGCAAAGTTCGTGCACAATGCGGAAATGCATTTTTGCATAAATTGATTTTAATTTTTGTTTGTTTTTCCAACAAAGTGAACGAGTGAGACAATGATATTAAAGGAGAATAATCTGACACTTTTAATTTTACTTTGTCCACACTGGAGAACGCTTTTCAGGTCTTGGTATTTAAGATATAACTGGAGTTCAAGATAGTGAATAGTGATAGTGGTCGGTTTAAATTTTCCACGAGCGGGAAATGGGGAAATTATGTCTTAAATTTAAAGAAAATAACTTGGAACTGGCAAGACCAACAAAAAATATCTACATATATAAATAAATTTTACTAAGATAACAAAAAAAAAAACAGAATGTAGGTTAGAAGAGAAGCAAGGGATAGAAATATCAATTAAATTATAAAGATGTTCCATCTTTACTTTAATAATTTAGTTTAATAAAACGAATAACTAAATCTGTAAGTATATTTGAGAATAACATGAGAATCGCATAGTAGGGCAGTAATAAAATATATGTTTTTCTTTTAGGCGTGCAGCGCTGATGTATGTATGTAAATTTTGTTTGTGTTCGGTGTAGGGGAATATAAGGTAAACTTATAAATACGTTATTAGTTTTAAAAGCATAAATAAAAATGTAAAAAAATAGAATAATTATTCCTCTATATTCTTCGCAGCTGTATACATACGTAGAAAGTAGTTTCCACTAACATTCCACAGTTGCGAGTGGTTTTCAAATCGCTTATTTAGCGTGTACGTATATTACAGAATGTAACTAAACTACAGTTAGATCATTAATCATTCGGTCTGTCCATCAAGGAGTCAATTAAAGTAACATATACCTTATATATAAAACTTAACATACAAAAATGCAAAAATGTATTCCCGATATGTGCATGCTATAGGTCGACTTATCTCTTCTTCTGTGATAGGGGATATTTATACTTTATGAGATCGACGAGGCCACCGTCTACCAGCTACATTGATCAACACAACTGAATGCATATCTACCTCTGTTTATCAATTTTTCGATTATTATATAGTATACAAATCATAATATGCAATATTTTGCGAAAGGTTACTAGAGTTATCAATCCAAAGTGCAAAAGATCAACACGTTGAGTGTCAAAAAAATTAATTTAATACGCAAAACGAAAAGAAGAAAACAGTACAAAAAAAAATAAAGATGAAACAACAAAACAATCTGTAACAAGAAACAGGCGAGTGACAAACAGCGCACAGCAGCACTTGAAAGATAAGTAGCCCCTCACACAGATTCCAAGAGAGATCCACACAGACTACAATTTATTAATTATAGTATAAAGTGTACACTTGTATAATAATAATAAAAAAGGGCCGCTCGCCAGCGCTGCTGGGTCAAGTTCAAGGACAAGCAATGCGACCACAACGACGACGACTTCGTGCAACGTATGGAAATGAATGGGAATCCGAATCGGCGGAGAGGGATGCACTTATTCTCGCACGTAACTGTGTGAGTGCTTCAATGAATGGGCAGCTGTGTGCGTGTGTGTGTGCGAGTGTGTATAGTAGATAGTAGGGCCCCTGGTCATGTAATAGTAGATTATGTTCCGATTCGGTCTGAAGTAATCGGTCTGATAGATTTCGCTTTTCTTATCAACTTATAGACCCGCTACCCGCGCCCTTTGTAGATCATTGGGTCACATACATACCCGTAAATGTTGCGAGTGGCCCTCAGCATCGATTTACCGCTTACAACTGGCACAATGCTGACACCGATGCAGGCTCTGGACTCAAGTGCTGTCGAGGATGCCGCCGCAAGCATCTGCCTGCTGCCCACTTACACATAAATACAATAAACAGAGACAGAAGACAACAAGGCAAAATGAATTTGCAGCTCGTGTTAATCAAGCGAAACACTCACATAAACACGATTACATACGAGTATACGCATTACGAGTACTAGTATTTATGCTCGTGCACTCAGACAGCGTGGAGCTGATTGTGAGTAGTTGTTGCAATGCACCCTGCACCTCCATTATGTGGGTAAGTAGGTCCTCCAATGCTTTTTCCGTAATAAAATTGAGAGATCGATAGTTAATTTATCGATTACACAATGAAACCAAGCTTTGAATACGATTACAAATAGGCCTATCGAATCGTGCTGTCAATTAAAAATAGTTGAAAGAATTTCCAATTACTTAACCAGTCTGTGTAATATCAAAGAACTTTTGATGCTTATCAAAACGCAGGTTTTGATCGGGTAATAAGGAACAGAAATATCAGCATTCAATTGCAAAGCCTACTTTGGTTAGTTGCATTTATGAGAATCGCAAAGAAGATCGATTGCGTGCAGGGCACCGGCTGATCGTCTAAACTCTTTTAGCAGCTTCATTCTCTCTTCTTCAAATGGAGCATTCTTGCTTGTTATCAATTGTTGTTGTTATTGCATTTAAGTGCAGCTTGTTAATGCTCATTAAATGTTAAGGGAACGCTGGAGCTGCGGCTGTGGCTGAGACTGGGACTGGGACTGACACGGCGGCAGCAAGCGGAGCTCAGGCTCCATCAAAGGCAGCTCCCCCAATTGCAATTGCTGTAGCAAGAGAAGCGGCGACTCGGCGCAAAACCCGATCCAAGTCTTACGCTTTAGTCCATAAAATGATGCGAGCCGAAAGTGTCGCGGCGGGCGCGTTGAAAAGAACTTTGTGTCTGGCGAGTCGGATAGCCTTCATTTACATATAAACTGAGTGACTCGATCACATACGATTCTGAATATTAGAAGTGGTTAAGAAGAAGAAGAAAAAGTTTTAAGCCCCTAAGGAAGAAACTTGTCGTAAAATGAAAATTCAAATGAAAATCTTGAAAATACAAACAACAAGGCATAGAACGTTGGCGTCCTCCACAGCGCGTGAGAAACCTGTTCGATGGAAAAGAGGCTTGTTGTTGTTGTTGTTGTTGTTGCTGCTGTTGTTAATTGTAGTTGTTGTTCTTGTTGTTGCGGTGCGTGTTTGTGTGTGCGTGTGTGTGTGTGTGTGTGTTGCGTACACAGCTAATTGAAAAAAAAAGTATTAACAGCATTGCCTTTTGTTTTTGCCTTTGATTGACTGACCAACCGAGCCGAGATTGAGACCGAAATCAAGAGGAGACAGCCCAAGTGGAGAGGGCACCAGGCGAGGCAACCAGCCGAAGCAGGCAGGCAGTCTGGTATGGCATAATGGTTGGATTTACAAAGAGAAGCAGCCAACAGCAGTCGAGTTAATTAATAATGCAAAGCCCATGAGCTTGCAGTCAGTCATTCATTCATTCACTCATTCAGTCACTCATTCGCTCCGTATGTTAGCCCAGTCAGCCAATGGATGAGACATAATCACGAGCTGATGCGCTGTTCAAGCATCTGATCTTTGCTGTCGCTGCCATCAGTTGATCGACAGGATACATAACAAGATATGGCATTCATACAAGCGTGTGAGCTACTTAGAAGTCAATAAAGTCAGTCAGCACACGAAAGGAAGCGGCAAGTTAGAATGAATGGGAAGCTGCAAAGATTGCAAATGCTGGAGCTCTTCAGTTGATGAATAGAAAACTGTTTTTTAGGATTCTGGAGCCTTTAACCTTTAAACAAGAAGGATCCCTGTTCGAATTCCGAGGTAGTCTTTGGATATATCATTTTGTCATCCAAAGAGATCCCATACTCTTCAACAATAATAAAGGGATAGACATGCTTCAACTAAGCAGCGTGCTTTGAGTCCTTCTTCAATATTCACACCAACCTAATCTACTCCCAGCTAGAATTTGTTTTAGTGACCCTAACTCTAGTTACTCTAGTTGCTCTATCTAATTTAGTAAGCAGCTCTATTCAATTTGGTCTACACTTAATTCATGTGTGCATGCATGTATTTGTGTGTGGCATTTACATTGTACTATCGCATGACTTGAAACAACAGCAACAACCACAACTTACAACTCAAATTCGCATTAATTTAAAACTCAATCAAGACAATTAGCGCGCGCACACACGGATCCCCCAACCCCCCCTGCCCACTGCTCCCTGGCACTCACACAATACACCAACTCCCTATATACATGACGATCCCTTGCCCGCCACACCTCCATCTCCGACCGCTCAGCTACACTCACACGCACACGCACAAATCGCAGCCAGCAGGCGGCAACATTGTTGTAGGCAGCTAGACATCTGGACAGCCCAGACGGAGCACAGCTGATTCCGCTGCCTAGACGAACCAGTTATGCAGTTGTTGTAGTCGTAGCCGTAGTCGTAGTCGTAGTTGTAATCCAACCTACCTCACGCCAAGCTGCTCGCTGAGAGGCACCACCGGGCAGCGCACGCGGCCACGCATTGAGGTAGTTGCTGCCGTCGCTGTTGCTGTTGCTGTTGCATAAATGCAGCTCTCGATGTAAACATTTCAATAAGCCACACAACAACAGCAACAAAACGCCTTGGCTTCCATTGTTTCTTGGCAAACTTTCATTGAGATTTTATATGCAAAAAAAAATAACAAAAAAAAAAGAAACAACAAAGCAACAAAATACAAACGCAAACAGCGAGCGGAGCGAGAAGTCAAACGACAGCAGCGCACTTGTTGTTGTTGTTGTCCTCTTATCAGCGGGAGAGCGAGCGCGAAGAGAGCGAGAGAGGGCGCGAGAGTCTGTTCGTCTGCGGCGAGCGTGAGAGAGTGTAGGCAACATGGTTCAGACACGAGATGCTATCATATCATGCGGCATCGCCTGCCGGGAGACCAGACCCCACACACACTGACACACACACAGACACATACTGACAGAACCTTGCCTTACTCACACAAAACGGATTCGAACAGCTGGTCGGTCGGTCAATCGTTGATTGCACGATCACATGAAAGCCGATCAACACGATCGATCCGAATCTCAGCCACTTGTTGCATCTGTTGTTGTTGTTGTTGTTGTTGTTGTTGTTGCTGCTGCTGTTGTTGTTGCTGTGGTGCTTGGTTATTAAATCAGTTGAAGAGCTGCTCGCGATCGCATTGCCGAGCCGCTCAAACGATCGTACATCGTGGTCGTCGTCGCTAACTGTGGACTCAACATTCGTTCCCATTCATATTCAGTCAGTCTTTGACTAAGCGTCGCAGTTGTCATCGCAGCGGGCACTGTGGTTACTGCTACTGTTTCGGATTCTGAATCGGATTCTGATTCTGTCTGTTAGGTTCCTTCGGTTTCGGGTTTGGAGAACGCTAGAAGCTATTCTTCTATTGAACGGATACGGATGCGGCTTTGATTGCACACACTCACACACACACACTCACACTCACACACAATAGGCAGCCAGCAATTACGAATCTCCAGTACGAGTGCAAAAGTGCAATGTCTGGATGTGATTAAAAGTAAAGTTCAGCATGTTCTATTGTTTTCGGAACCATGACGAGATCGACATTACCAACAACAACAACAACAAGAACAACATCGAACGGAGCTTCTGATTTTGATTAGAGAGATCGCAGATCGAAGAAAATATGCAGCAATAAAGAGCTTTAATAGCAACAAATATAATCAATGTGCAATATAGCTAAAATATTTATAAAATATTCTAGAAAAAAGAAAATATCAATTAGTTTTATATATATTATAATTAAAATCAATTCAAATGCCGGTTAGTGATAATAGTTTTACACATATATATAAATATATGTTATGCAGTGCAATGTTGTCAATAAATAAATAAGTAATTAAGTGAATAAAAATGCCCAAAATGCTAGTTGAAAGTCCATTAACAACAAAAACAACAACAACAGCTACAGAACGGATCTTCTATTGGATTTAAAAACAATACGCAAAAAACAAGGTAAGCTGAGAGATTAAGAGAGATAAAAACGTGCATTTAAATAAATATATGTGCGCATTGGAGTCATGAAGAAAATTTAACTATTGATTAAAAATATGGAATATTATTTAACTTTAGTAGTTATGGATATATAATTAAGAAAAGATCATAAAGTGAACTGGATCAGATGTTCAAAGGACTTTTTTGAAAGGATTTATAAGATACTGCTTATTATGATAGTTAAACTTTGATATTGTAGAATGTTGGCTACTTTTAGGTATATCTCAAGATAAAATAGGTCAAGGTCGAACTTAATATAAGCACTTAGTATTTCAGCTGTCAGTTGAGGAAGTATTAAACTATTTGATTCCTTAATATTTTTCATATTTTCTTAAGTTTTAATAACCAAAAATTTTGACTGCAGAGAAGTTTTTTTCAGTGTTAGCTCCATAAATAAAAATATTCATAAACCGCAGTTTATCAAAAAATTATAATTAAATGTTCGCAACTTCAAAATGAAATCACACAAAAAATAAATAAAATGTATATTTATATATATTATATGTATGTTTAATAAATAAACATTTATTTAACTTTGGCAAACATTAAATTGCAATTAACTTCTCAGCTCTTCTCACGGCTGTTGCTCTCGCTTCAGAGTATGAGCGGGTATTCTCCTCGCATGGAATCTCATTTTTATTTATTCATTAATTAATTACTCATTATTATTTATCAGACGGTGCCACGCAGCCTTTAAGTGAGAAATTTGCCAAATTGCCTGCTCTTTATAATTTTTATGTTTATGATATTCTCAAAGGCCTATTTACCTCAAGTTCATTATCAACATTAAAAAAAACTTTTAAATGCCAACTTTTATTGTTAGTCTGATTTGTCAAAAGCACAAATAAATTTTTGTTCATTTTTATACATTTTCAAAGTGAATGTCAGTCGCTCCTTTTTCTTTATTTTTTACATTTTACATCTGCTTTTTTTGTACATTTTTATCGTTGTTTTTTTAAATAACGTGCATTGACCGCCAATTTTCGAGGCGATGATACATTTTGTTAATGGAACGATTATTGTGGTCTCAACTGAGTTTCGGTAATAAAATATGGGGTGTAAATACTCATTCATGGAATGTGTTTATTTTTAAATGAATATTCATTGCAGAAGTCTCTAATCAAAACAAGCTTTGCTTTTGTTTACATAATCCATGATCCAAAAGGGAAGCACATTTGCTGAAATGCGCGAGAATTCATATATTGAATTTCAAGCGATATTCCGGGCTCTTGAAGTTAGAATTTGTTTCTCTTTGAACTATCCTTTCATTAACTTCGTTCTTTGTAAGAAAGTAAACCGAGCAATCCGATTCTTTGGGGTTCTAAGCAATGTGTATAATATTAGCTATTGCAGGCTCATTGTTATTCAAAGAATGTTTAATGTTTGTTTATCGGGCTCCACTCGAAAGTTCTCACACTTTTCTTCTCTATCGCCTTTCTAACGATTCTTCAGCTATTGAATAATTCACGTAATCAACGGCAGCAACGACAACAAAACCCAAAGCTAGTTTGGTCATAACTGGTCAGACTTCGGGACTGCGGCTCTTCAGCAAATATCTAATGCGAAATTTCTCTATTCTTTTTTCTATTTCTCTATTACAATTCAAAAGCGTCGAGTGTTAAGGCCCAGGTAGGTGGAGGTTGCCTACAGACTCCCATACTCAGTTGTTGTTGTTGTTGTGTCAGGCGCGTCGTTGGCCGTACATTGAACTTGGCCAAACGTCGGACAGGGCTTAGCTAATGGGTTGGGATTCTATCTCTAGCTCTTTCACGCCAACCGCCGCTCTTTCTCCCGTCATCTATCGCCGTCTATCGCTCCACGGAACAGCTGACAAATGCTATGCGCGAAAAATTGTTGGCCCGCTGGCTGCTGGCCGGCTAGCTGTTGGCCTGCTGGCTGTTGGCCGGCTGTTGGCCGTTTGGGGCCTGAGAGTTGGCCGTGACCATGAAGCCATCGGTTCGGTTGGGTTCCGTTGCGTGTGCAATGTTATATGGTCGGTAGTCGGTATTCGGTAGTGACATAATCTGCTGATGTTGAGCGTTCTACGCTTTGGGCTGAGGTTTCTTCTTCTGTAACTGCGCAGCGGATCGCGTGGCTTTTATTTTTATAATATAACATTATATATTTTTATTATTATTTTTGGTTTGGCTCATTTGCATAAATGTGAAGAGAAAAAAATGTGCCAATAACAAAAAAAAATAGCCAAGAATATGATCAAAACTTTATGTAAATTCTGATGAAAACACAAACTTGTTTATTTCGCAAAATAAACAACGACAATATATCGGCTAATTGGTAGAACACTTTTTTCTCTCTTTTATTTTTAGTTTTTTATATTAAGTTTATGTTTTTTTATTTTGTGCCACATTTTAGCAACGTTCGCAGGTCGCCTTGTATAAGTACGAGTTTTTACAAAGTAACTAAGCAAATGCTGAATAATTTTATGAAGGTGTCAACAATAATTTGCGGTTGCACTTGGACTTGGACGGCCTGACGCCACAGGAATCAGTTCAATGCAAACTAATTTGCTGAATTTGTCGAAATTATTTACATTTTTATTGTGCATTTTTCTTTTTGGATTTTTTGCTTGATTTTCGGGAAAGCATTCTGCGAAAGCTGTAAGGTAAAACCAAAGAAAAAATACAACTGAAGAAAGCTGAAAAATGATCAACAAATTAAGCTAAGGAATGCAACAGCTCGCGTGGAGCGTGCGACCCAATACAGTGGGCTGTGAGCTATACGAAAGTGCTTGAAATTTGGGAGCTGCCCAATTAGAATTTGTCACTGTTAAATAGCTGCAAAATTACAGTTCTGAGTGAAACTAACCAAATTATGTAAACCAAAGAGTATATCACTATATTGCTTAGTATTCTAAATAGAAAACTTTCTGAGTTTATTTTAACTTCTCTTTAAACTGATCTCAAGATTCAAATAGTCTTCCAATCAGCTCATACATTTATAAGACACATTGCTTGATGTAATTATCTTAAAATCAATGTGTTTGCCCAGACGTATATCTTGAAAATGATTAATTGATTCCTCAATACTCCACCTCTACAGAAAAAAACATGCCCACTGATGATACAAAACTATTTGTCGTCCAGGTCACAAGAAAGAACACACACGCACACACAATTTATATCAAATAAAAACCCAAGAGTGCGTTGAAATCTATTTGCGCAGATATTAAGATAAGGCCAATTTCTGTTTAGGTTTTGTTTTTGGATTAGCTACGTAATAATATGCTGTTCCTTGATGTCGCCAACTCGTTCACTAATTTCATATAGGGGCTTCAAAGTCGATAGGCTTCTAGATGAATGACTTGCAAAAAGTGGAAACACGAGAAATAGAAATCATAGCCAGTTCAGCACTTCCTTCTTTGCTGTTAATCACTTCCTCATCTCTGGGGCGACGCGTGCGCCGTTCTAAGCGCTTCTCACTTTTCCAAGCAGCTAGCAATAAAGTAGATGAAAAAAAAAAAAAAAACAAAAAAAAAACTCGCTTTTATAATAAGAATTCTTGCGAATTCTTCCAAGCACACACAGATCTTGTCTCGTCGGTTGCCGGCACCATGATTAATATGCATATACATAGATCGACTCGGAATCGAACGGGGGAATGTCTTCGCGTGTTGCTTGTCGTTAGAGCCGCGTTAGAAGCCCCCGTTCCAGTTGACTGTGAAAACCGGCTCAGAAACTGGCCGCAGGCAGCGAGAAGAAAGCATCGGCCAAGCAGAATGCGACATTAGAAAGCATATTATGTAATTTATTATGTAAGACGAGACGATGGGAAAGTTTTTGTTCTTTACTCTCAGTCTTGTGCTTTGGCCTTTGTTTTGATTTTGGTATTTCACAATGTCAATCAAGTATTTCTCTACACAACAATTCAATGGGCCAATGCGCAAATAAATATTCGGGTTTTTTTCGGGTTTTTTTTATCACAACAAAGTTTACGACAGTCTCGGGGAATGACGCCTTAAAATTATATATTTTTGCCTATTTAGCAAGTTGATCGTTTTTTCTAGTTAAACCTAAAATACGTATAAATGTGAAAGAAATGAAAGTTGTTTACTCTAGGGAATCGTTTCGTCTCTGTCCTAGTTTTAAGTGTAGTGAAATTAAAGAATTCTTCTGGAGTATATAATGCAAGGTTCTTGATGGATCTTATCTTATATTCTCTGTGATGTAGACACTTTTACTAGCCCGATATTCGTCGGGTACAATCTTAATTGTAGTCATTTTTTTTTTGGGTTTATTGCCCTATTTTTTTTTTTTTTGGCGAGTCACAGTGTCTTAGCCTTTTTTTCACACAACCTTGAACTGTATCGTTGTTGGGTTTATCTTATCTGGAGGCTTACAGTAGAAAGACATTTGCTCGGTTGTCACAAAAAAATGTTCTTATCGTGCTCCCAAATATAATGCAAAATCTATGATTAGCAAATATAAGTGGCAATTTTTGTATAAATCAACATTTAAGGTAAGGCCAGAGACCGGTTTGGTTTGAGGTCTGTGCATGACTTCAATTAATGGCCTGAAATTGTTTAGAGTGCTAGAAGATTTGCATAAAATAAGTAGAATATTTTGTTGAAAAGCATTTAAAACGCGTTAAGTCCGCCAACAACAACGACTCCACCTCTCACTCTTTGTAGCCTCCGATGGTAATGGCCGTGATACTGTTGCTCGCCCTGGCAGTTGTACTCGGTTGCTATTGCGCGATTCATAGGCAAAAGATCGGTGCGATTTATTTGAAGCCGCTGCTTAAGAATACGCCGCTGGAGGATTGTTATCATGCCACGCCCATCGAGCAGCGGAAGCGTCGCAGCATCTGGGATATACCCGGACCGCAGCGGATACCATTTCTGGGCACCAAATGGATATTCCTCCTGTTCTATCGGCGCTACAAAATGACAAAGCTGCATGAGGTCTACGCAGGTGAAAGACTCTCACAGTTCTGAAGAGCACATGCCAATATTTTTCTCTCTTCTCTCTCCCTTCTTCTGCTATTCGATGTACACACTGCAGATCTGAATCGACAGTACGGTGACATTGTGCTCGAGGTGATGCCCTCGAATGTGCCCATTGTGCATCTGTATAAGCGCGAGGATCTGGAGAAGGTGCTCAAGTATCCCAGCAAGTATCCCTTTCGCCCGCCCACCGAAATCATTGTAATGTATCGACAATCCCGACCCGATCGCTATGCCAGCGTGGGGATCGTCAACGAGCAGGGACCGATGTGGCAGCGATTGCGCTCCTCGCTCACCTCCAGCATCACCTCGCCGCGCATCCTGCAGAACTTTCTGCCCGCCCTGAACGCCGTTTGCGATGATTTCGTTGAGCTGCTGCGTGCCAGACGGGATCCCCAGACCCAGGTGGTGCCCAACTTTGAGGAGCTGGCCAATCTGATGGGTCTGGAAGCCGTTTGCACCCTGATGCTGGGCCGGCGAATGGGCTTCCTGGCCGCCAATGCCAAGCAGCCGGAGAAGATAAGCCAACTGGCGGCGGCTGTCAAGCAGCTGTTCATCTCGCAGCGCGATTCATATTACGGCCTGGGCCTGTGGAAATACTTTCCCACCAAGACGTACCGGGAGTTTGCGCGTGCCGAAGACTTGATCTATGAGTAGGTATAAGATGCTTTATGTGTAAGCTACCATCGCAGCCATGTCTAATGCGTATTTGCAGTGTCATCTCGGAGATCATTGACAACGAGCTGGAGGAGCACAAGAAGTCGGCGGCCTGCGAAGATGAGGATGCGGCGGGCCTGCGCAGCGTATTCCTAAACATACTCGAGCTCAAGGAGTTGGACATACGGGACAAGAAGTCGGCCATTATTGACTTTATAGCCGCGGGCATTGAAACGGTAAGCGATAAATGTAACGAGCTAGATATTAAGATATTCCAGTTTTGCTTCGACTTCGCTTTCGCCTAATTCCTGGTGCTTTGCTTAACAATTATTCTCACTCCATTCTCTCTCTAGCTAGCCAACACACTGCTCTTTGTGCTCAGCTCCGTGACGGGAGACGCTTCGGCTATGCCTCGCATACTCAGCGAGTTCCTTGAGTATCGGGACACGAACATCCTGCAGGATGCGCTCACGAATGCCACATACACCAAGGCGTGCATTCAGGAATCGTATAGGCTGCGGCCCACAGCCTTCTGCCTGGCACGCATACTCGAAGAGGACATGGAACTGTCCGGCTACTCCCTGAATGCGGGCGTGAGTACTCAACGCAGTTGTGCAAGATATATGCAAATCGTAGTCTCTAACAGTTTGTTTCTTCATTTCTTTTGGCACTCTAATCTCCAGACTGTGGTGCTGTGCCAGAATATGATCGCCTGCCACAAGGATAGCAACTTTCAAGAGGCCAACCATTTTTGTCCCGAACGCTGGATAGACTCCAGCTCGGGCAACTTTACAGTGAACGTGGACAGTGCCAGCATCGTGGTGCCCTTCGGTGTGGGTCGACGCACCTGTCCCGGCAAGCGTTTCGTCGAAATGGAGGTGGTCCTGCTGCTTGCCAAGGTAAGTCAACGCGGTTGATCATTGGATCGGATATAGAAATTAATGTCATCCATTATGTGCAGATGGTGCTGGCTTTTGATGTCAGCTTTGTCAAGCCGCTGGAAACGGAATTTGAGTTTCTGCTAGCCCCGAAGACGCCGCTGAGCTTAAGGCTGCGCGATCGCGAGTTATGAAACGCATTGATCTTAGGCGTTTGTATCCAATATAAACCCCGAAAGGTAAACAACTCATATAGCTATACGCTCCCAATTTGGAACCGATCAATAGGTAAATCCTTTTCCCGCAAAAATTTCAATTTCTTATGGTTTTTCTTAATACCCAAATTGTTCACAACCCTTTAAAGATCATTAAGTATGGGTACTCCCGCAAATACAGGGTACCACCTTAAGAGTTCATCCAAAAAGTATGCTTTAAAAATGTAACTTAAAAATACTTGAACTAGATTTTCCTTATTTTCATAAAGTTTCAACATGTGAGCGTCTTTCATATGAGTTAAGTAAAAAACTAGAAAACATAAAAAAAAAAACAAATATAACCCAGAAATCTAACAAAAGTGAAGAAAACACCAAACTGTACATAGAAGAAATGTCTAGAGAGTAGAGTCCATATAGATTCAGTTACCCGTACCGTAGCTGTCTCTGTGTAAGTTTCATTGTGTTGTTGTAGCTAGTTATTGTTAATCTTAAGTAGCGGCAATTATTTTTGTGGCCTGTAAACGGAAAGACTGTATTTAAGTTTTGTTGTTTCAATATTGAGGTGGCACGTAATGTAATCTGTATAAAACAACTAATTCGTATTGCTCTGTACAGTTAACCAATATGTATTTATTCAAGTTTTTTATTTCCTAGTTTTCTAGCTGTGTATATTTTTTGTTAAATGATAAAAAGAAAAACAAACTAACGAGAGTTAAAAACAATGACGAAAAAATAAAGTAATGCCTTTGAACTGTGTTTTTAATTGTTGCAGAGTTTTCTTTTTGGGTGCATTTTGGTCAGCCTCATCTAAATAATAATTTGGGATCAATTTTTCAAGAGTTATAGGAAAGTTCAAACGTTTCTCTCTTCGAAAAGGGCTGCCCATTAATATCGAACCTTGAACAACACGTATGCTCATCAATGAAAGACGGCTTATAGAACATCATACTTAAATTTCAGTCAATTATATGCTACCAATATTATTATTTCCTGACAACGATCGGCACCTGTCTTCACCTGATCAACTGGTCTGATTGCCTTTCCATATCCAGTTATTGATTCCAACTAAAAATTCTGAGTCTCGAATGGCTACAGTGGCCACCGGGGATCAATTTGACCGACATTCTACTTAAAGCTCACTTAGTGCTGCTTAAACTCCTAGTTCCGGCTCCTTGACAGCTGGTGCTAGGGCTATTCCACCGAAAATTCCCTGCAGATTTCGGAGTCGATTACCCATTCGCACTCGTTCAGCTTTTTTCTATACTGCTGATGTACCTAACTTTTTATAACTTTGGTCTTGAATAAACCCTAGCCGCACCGAAGGACGCGTCAAATCGGCAGGAGATGATTAGGAATCGAGTAGACATCCGTGGTCCTTTCATTACCCAACCGTACTCTGGTCTACTATGGGAATATATGTATGTTGTAGTCGATCATCAGAAAGCCCATCTGAGATCTGTTCTTGTCCAAGGCTATCGTCTGCGCAGTATATAATATTGAATAACTATAATATATGTTTTCTATAGGTACATACGAAAGTAAAGCTTTATAGAGTACAAGAACACTTAACCCATTAACAGGCCTGAATAGAGAAGTTTTCTTTACATTTTGTACTTTTTAAATATCCCTTCAAGAATTATTGCTGATAGTTGAAATGGGAAATATTAGCTGAGGTACTTTATTATTCGTACAATGAGAAGGGAAATTAATAGCCACGACAGAAACCATAGCACATTGTAGGGGCTGCCTGGTTTGTAACTCGGCTATTGTAGTGATGTCTCATATATTAGTCAAAGTGTTCAACTGTACGGCTTATAACTCGGCTAAGAGGCTAACTTGGCAAATTACACTGGTGGTCAGTTCGGCTATGTTATAAATTTAACATCTAGCATAAAATCGAACTTTTATTGCCACTATTCCAATTTTAAAAATAAATCTGTAATTTTAACTGTTATATTTGTTAATTTTGATTTTTTGATTTTATAAGTTGTGCATTCAATTTGGTGTGCTTTAGGTTTCTAAACATGTTTCAAGCGCTTGTTCTCTTTGCTTGCTCAATTATGCTCCGCTCTTTGTGCAGCTCGCTCTCTCTCCCTCTCTCTGTCTCTGTAGTGGGTCTGGGGCTGGGGCTTGGGCCTGAACGGCTTGGGTTTTAGGTACGTTACAACAGTTGACGTTGGCGTGTCGTCGGTTTCAGTTTCAAACTTTCCCGATTGAGCAGAACAAAAATTGAAAAATAAAACCCATTTTCTATAAAATTGCGCGCTTGAAATTCAGACTGTATTTGTATTTGTGTCGCACTGTAAACGTGTTTGTGAAGAATACTAAAAGCTAACAACATAAATTGGCTGCACTATTCTGCACCTCTAATAAGTATTAGCCAAGTACGCAAATGTAAAATATGTTGTAATACTCACACACACACACACACTCACACACACACACATGAACTAAAAACCTGTTTGTTTTAGAGTCAGCCAATGAAAACTTGTATGAATTAAAATTAATCGTAACTAACTTGTGGCAATATGCAAAAGTGCATCATTTACTATCAAAAACGAGCGAGTGCCTCAGACTCCGGACTCGGAGACAGACAGACTCGGAGTTGGGGGAGGAGACGAAGACACAGATATGTGCTCTCATCTCCAAGATCGATGCTCTCGCCGAGTGTGCAGCCCCACCCGAAAACTAATTGTTATTGTGGTACAGTAAACAGCCAATAGCAATGACAGCCACAAGAGGAGCGTAACAAATTGTTGCTGTTATTATTAAACTTGCTAATTATGCACAATTTACACTAGCTAACAAATTGTTGGTTCTATGATTCACAACTAGGCGCACGAGAGGAGATATGGAATATAGCAAAGTTCATGATTGAGGCGTGAAATGCCAACTATTCAAATTTCTATAGCTATATATATATTTCTAACTTGGGCAAATACGAAGCTCACAAATGAGAAATTTTTTTCTTTTATTTATACAGTTGTTTTAGACAATTAAAGAATAGTTTTCTTTATTCAAAAAGAATTTATCTTAGTGAAGAAAAATAGATGCTTCTCTTTGGTTCTAAATATCTTCATTGAATTTCAAGTATTCGTATCTATACATTCTATTTACACAGCAGTTTGATGTTTTCTTTATTGTATTAACCTGTAGGGCTTAGTTTATTTACTAACTCTTAGATAAGCGCTTATTCTCTCTGTATTCTTCTAGAAGCGCCCTTTAATGGTGGCTAACACTGACCTTCAGCGTGGCTTTGTCATTGAATTCGCCAATGGGGCTGCCTAGGCAACCGCTCCAAGCCCAACAGCCCCTACCTTAACCCAAACTAAGTAGAATAACAAGTTGCATGTCTGAACCGGCTAACACCAACAGAATCGTGTACTTGGCTAGCCAGGTTGAGGGGGTGTGAGTCCAAATGAGGTCAACAAAGTGCGCGCTAGAAAATCGCAATTCAGTTTTCATTGTTTTCCCTTAAGCAACAGCCAGCCGGCCCAAGTACAGTAGGCGCCTACGCGAACCGCCCCATTGAACGTGTATTTGCCCAAAGCCAGTTTGCCAGTTGGCCAGTTGTGCATATCAATGCAGTTGAGCTGTGCCGAGCTGAGTTTTGCATGAAAAACAAGTTTTGTTGCGCTTTTCAATGAATCTGGAGAGGATCTTGACGATGTTCACACTTTGTCAACCTTTGCCTGTCGCAGGAAGCTCACAAATGAGCCGCAATTAGGTAAAAAAGGTGAAAGAGCGGCAGCGAAAACAAGCCACGATAGCTTGTCTGCAAGAATGACAGACCAAAACAAAACGAAACGAAACAACAACAAGAATAAGAGGAAGAAGAAGAACATTAACAACATAACTGGCAAGTCGATGACCCAATCCAACCAGACCAGTTATAGGGCTGCCCGCCAAGCCCTTTCAAGATGCCTGCAACAGAAAGCGAAACGAGGTTAAAGCACACTGCTGGCCAAAATATTGTGCATGCCAGCAGAGAGAGAGAGAGAGCGCGTCTGTCTGAGCGCGAGTTTTGTGGCTGCGCGAGCGCAAAACAGGTGTGGCTGCCTCACTCACATATCCCTCTCTCTCGCTCTTTTGAGTCGTTTCCCCCCCGACACTCGCTGCTCCTCGAAAACCCGTTCAACTGGTCAAGCGATTTGTTTACATTATTTTGTGGTTGTTTTGCTCGCTGCGTTGTTTGTTTTCTTTTTTCAATTTTTTTTTGTAAGTTTTTTCTAAATTGTTTGGGGTTTCGTCTTTTTGGTTGGCTTGGCTAAAAAACGTGAGAAGTTTGTTAGCAACAACGTGAAAAGTGTTGTCGTGTCGATTACTCATTATTCAAGCATTATAACTAATTATTTTGTCTCGCGAGTTGCTACCAAAAATTACTTAAGCGCAATTTTCTAGATTTAATCGCATTGCGACGAGCTGAATCATGACTCAATATGACAAATTAAATAAGATAAATGTTTTTTTAACTTTACGTAAAGTACAAAATTTTTTTTAAACTTAAAACATTTTTTACTCGACAGACATTATTTTATACCCTAAGCCCATTGAAAATGTGTAAAAAGGGTATTATGGTTTTGTGCAAATGTATGCAACAGGCAAAAGGAAGCATCCCCGAGCCCACAAGGGATATATATTCTTGATTAGCATCAATAGCCAACTTTATCGAGCCGTTGATCTCAGAACCTATTAAAGCTAGATGTCAAATTTAAGGCAACCCAATTTAAGCCTTAGGGAAATGGTGGGCCGAACAATTTTAAAATCTCTTACCAAGTATCTTACTCCTCACTTAATGAACAGAACAAAAAAATTGACTTCAAATGTTATCCAAGTTCGCTTTTAGACTGCTTTTCTTAGATATAAGTTTGTAAGATTATCTAAAAAAAAGAAGAAAAAGTAAACTTAATAATTGTTAACTTTAATATAGGGTATTTCAAACGTCGCTATTTCTCTCCCTGAAATTCCTCTATAAATTATGTATTGTTTTGATTTTTACAAAGCAACACGCAATTGTTTGGTGCTTAAGAGCTTCAGACCCTAGACACTAAAATATTTATTAGTACCACAAATTAGTGTTAACTAACAATAACAATGCTCAGTCACTTTCCCTCTCTGCCTCACCCGTGCTCTTTCTCTTTCTCACTCACATCTCCCACCATTCGCTGGGTGAAAGTTTTTTTCCTCGACTTTGATTTGAATTTGGGTTCAGGGTTCTGGTTTTCCCGCTTTAATTTTAATTGTTTATGCAGTCGGGCGGGGTGAGGCGGGTTAACTGTTAACTGCGCCCCTCTCTGCGCTTCGACTCCACCCACAACTGTGCAGCGTTTATGGTATTTATTTTATTGTACGTGCTATTTGCAATTAGGCTTAATCAATGCGCGACGCCAATGGGGCATGAATGAATGCCCCGAATAACTGAACCATGCAGCGAAATAAACCGAGTATTGCGGAAAAACAACAACAACAGCAAAAGTGTTGGCCTGGCCAAGTGTCGCATTGTTTTGCTTATTGGTTGAACTGTAATTATCAACACGTCATTAAATGGGGCTTAGAAGTGATATTGCTATATCGACTGACAGACACACACAGCTTAAAGCGTAGGAGCTCTTGAACTGCTTAGGAATGATTAATTTGCATTGAAAATGGGCAGAATCATTTTGTTATAAATTCAAACGACATAAAATTTTAGATTTATAAGCAAAATGCATGAGAACATGATTCGCACTATTCCTATATTTATGAAATAATCTAATTTGCCCATGGAAGCGTTTGTTGTAGTAATGCCTAAAATTTAAGTCTATAACTCTTTTTGGTTAAAGCCTTGTAAATCCAGCTAGCACTGATTTCTATATGCCCCATTCTGTAAACATTTCAAAGGAAAAGTAGGAATATTTAAATAAGTCCATGAATTTTAAAAACCAATCAAAGGTATTTAGGCAGCATTCGAATATCCGGATAACCGGTCTCTGAGCTTCGTAGGCCCGTAAGAAAGTCTGCGTTCGGGCATAGAATTTATCAATCTTTTATTTTTGTCAAAATGGAGCTTAACTAAAATAAAATTGAATCGAATTTGTTTTGGGTCTGCTCGAATATATATGTAGCCCGCTGATTTACTTGTGTTTAACGTGGAATTGATTTCTAAAGATCTTTAAATTCTTAACTTGATTTGTGTTTCACGTATATCGTAAAATCCACCCGACTGGGTGGAAAATGGCCGTCAAAGGTTCATTTATTTGAACGTGTTTCTCCGGCGGAAATAGTAGCAGTTTTTTCATTTTATTCGATCAACAAATTCAGTTTAAAATAAATAAAATCTATGTAAGACGTAATTCACCAGTTGCGAAGAATCCACTTCGCCAAGTGGAAATTGGGTTTCGAGGTAGAAAAATAAGTCAAAAATTTAAATCAAAAAACTAAGCTCAAGCCGGATAAAACACGCGATCAGAATTCCTCAACACTGGTTTTTAATAACATGGGATAGTTGTGGCAGTTGAATCATCTACCAGACAACTCATTTGTATGTAGTCCGCACAGTTTTGGAATAACTTGGAACTGCACCCACAGACAGCTATGACATCATTCGCTAGCCAGACAGCCCTTAGAAATTAGTCCCGCTAATCAATTAGACGCCAGTTGCGAACCCATTTGGAAGTTATGTGGGAGACCGATGCCAACAATTGACACAAATACCCAGCACATTGCGTGGCATACAACACGCTCCACTGCGCACCCGAGCTAATAACGAGAATAACATATAACCCAGAGCCAAATATGGCAAATATATCGCAGAGATACTGAAGAAATTCTTAAAATTGTTCATCGTAGGCAATCAAACAAAAGTTTAAAATAAATAAACAAAAAATAAGAAAACCTTCAGCCAGACGAACGAGATGAGTTACTTGCGCTCCATAGGTACTTATTATACTCTATACATGGATAGCTTGGCTGACTGATCAAACGAAATCCCATTGCCCAATTTAACAGTTCGTTAATTGATTTATTGATTGATTGCATTGCATTTATCTTTCCCATAGAAATCTCACGCGTCGAAATGTCGCCGGCGGAAGACAATTCCTTTGCCACAACAAGTGGCAACAAGAAGGCAACCTACACTCTGATATCCATCAAAGTAGTGGAGCTGGTGAGTCAAGTTCAACAAATCAAATTAACACCCTAACTAATAAAGTTGAAAACAAAAGCTGATTTTAACACTAAAATAAACATATGTACTAATGTTTGACAGACGAACAGACTTAGATCTTTACACTTGTATCTGGAATATAGTTTAAAAAAAAAAACAATTCTGATTGACAGCTCCATGATGGATGATGGGTCTTAGAAATATGGCAACAAAAATTAATAAATCAATGAAATATATGCATTCCATTTGCATGTATCAATTGTTGCAAAATTCTCAGTACAGGCAGCACCAAAGTGTGGATATAACACATTGGAATCGCTTTCCAAACTTCATTTACAACTACTCTAATCGAATCTATATGATATAGAGGTTCGAGAAGTTCGCCAATCGGGTTGAACAAAATCTTCCGTAAGAACAGTCAGGGGGAAATAAAGTTCCTTATAAAAACAACGATTTGTTGCCTAATGTATATACATAAGCGAGGGTATTCAATCTTCGGCAACGCGAAGAAAACTTCTCATTCTTAAAATCGTTTTAAATTCAGAAATACAATCATATTACATTATATAGTCCCTATGGATTGTATCACTTGGGTTCTTTCACAATATAATGAACTGGACGAATACTAATTTGAGTCCTAGCATAATTCTCTGATATATATTTGCGTTTTAAAGTTTCTTAATGTTGCTTAAATGATTCTTCTACTTACCAGTGTCTGCTGATATGTTGCCTGGGACTGATAGATGAGCCGGCTACCAACTCGCATTTGCGTATATTCATCACACCCAGGGTCATGGCGCTGTGCTATGTGACCTTTGGAGCACTGGCGATTTACACGGCAATCTATTTGATCATGGCTCTGTTTGGGGATCTGTGCGTACAATTAATCCGAGTCTAACGATTTTTTAACTATCCTTATTAACATTCCTGCAGCACGCCTTGGCGCACCGCGACGCTGTGGTCTCTGGTGGGCTTCGTTCTTTTTGTGGCCGTGACGGCGCTGTTGTTCCGCGACTGGAGCACCACCAAGGATCGCAATTACTGGCATCCCAATATGCATCGCCTGGATCTGGTAATGGCGTCCGCATCCATATCGCTGGTCACCGCCCTGGTCTACTTGCTGGACGTGCTGCTAACCATTCGCTTTGGCGTGCACGGCGATTTGGAATGACATGGCGTTGGACCGTTCCAGGCTCTGGCCTAGTGTGACTGTAATATTTACAGAGCTTAGACGTAAGCTTACCCCACTCCCAGCTAATTGTAACAATTGTTCAGAAGCACATGTCAAAATCTGTACCATATACATACATACATACATCATAATTGCCATCATTGAAAGATAATGTACAAAACGAATTGTAGGACATTTTTATAAGTCGAGAAATATGTGTTGAAGTTTCGCTTACAGCCCTTAGAATACGAATCACGAAATATTTTCTTTCTAATCTACTTAACATAAGTTTTTTTCACCGAATATTTTTGTAACAAAAGAAATAAATTTTCACCAAAAAACCATATGAATATGTTTGTAAATGAATTTACGATTCATTCAAGCAAACATAATAATTCATTCGTTTAAAACAATAAACATATATATATAAATATATATACTTTTTTCTGTATTGTAAGAGCTGTTTTTTTTTTCTCCGGTAAACAAGTTTTTGATTTAACTTTAAAAAAATCAAGCACTAATATTTAATTATTAACTTGAAAACGTTACTGAAAATCGAAATTAGTTTTAGTTTTAAGGGTTTCAAGACAAACATTTTAATTGAATATGTGCCTTTTATGCGGGATCTTAAAATCGATCTTCATAATTTTCGCTTGGCTTCAAAGTAAAAAAAATGGCAATTTAGAACATGTTTTCGCAAGCTTGTTGATAAAAGGCACAAGCATTGTTTAGGAATTAAAAGTTTTAGGCAATATTTACAATGAATTAACGACAAAAAATTTCTTATAACTGATAACATATTAACAACATTTCGAGTAGCTTTCAGTTTCTAGATTCTGTTCTTTGAAAAACTTCTCATTTTATAGAAATTGTAAAGTATTTCTCAATATCCTGATCATTTTCGATCATTTTCAGGCTGTGAAATGTTTCTTTAATATAACATTTGCACACATCGCCATTGCCTGTGAGCAAAGAGTTAATTTAACTATTGTCCAAATTTTGTTAAATGTTTTTTCTTGGACTTACCTAGGCTGCCGTCGCAGATGCGTTGCGTAATCAGTTTGGCCAGGGCCTTGAACAGCTCCCTGGTGGCTATTTTGCGCTTGTAGTACGGATTCAGCCACTGCACCACAGATTTGCTGACATCGTTCTTTTGCTGGTTGATTTGGGGTTTTCTTTTGTCTTTGCCTCCCTCGAGCAATGGAGCGGACTTTTCCTTCTGTGGCTCATCTTTAATCTTTGCCTGCTGAACGACTGGCTTTTTCTTCTCTTCGCTGCGCTCCGGCAACGCAGCTGACTTTTCCTTTTGGGGTTCAGCTTTAATTTTTGCTTGCATATTTTTTTGCTCCAGCAATTGTCGCGCAGTCGTAAAGCCACCAAATAGCGACAGGTCGGATTGTTTCTTTTCCGGCTGCTTTTCACCGTTCAACTCCGACGGCGGCTTCTTTTCTGCCAACATTTGACGGGCAGTTGTGAAACCAATTGAATCTGTGCTCGAATCCGATTCCTCTTTGATTTGAACTCGATCCGGTTCAGTTTCCGAGATCAATTTGCAGCTGGCTGTGGTCTTTGCTGGCTTCTTTTGCACCTCCGGCTCCAGGTGTGAGACACGCGTTTTACGGCGCGTATCGTAGCTGCCATCGCCATTTGGCTTGAGTCTGTATTTTCTGTGTCCAAAATCAATTTCCACTTGATCCTCATTTGAAGGATTTTCTTCTTCACTCTGTTCTTCCTGCTTCACTTTTGGATCTTCGACTGCTGTCTTTGATGCTGTTTCACTGGCAGGCTCCACGTCCTTCATAGGCTCGTCATCCGCTTCCTCTGCTGGTTCTGTTTTAACTGAGGACGTCGGCTCAATTGGGTCTACAGACATTTCTTCTTTCACTTCCTGCTTAACTTTGACAAGGAAACTGTCTATTGACGTTTGCTTGCTTTGATTCTCTTTGAAGCCCTTGCGCTCGCGCAATGCCTTTGGTGGCTCCTTCAGGGACTGTGGCTTTTGCTCCTCCAGCTCTTTCAGCTTGCGTTCAAAGTATGCCACACTGCCGCCGGTCCAGACGCCTTTGGCGCTTGTTTCCGGCCTTGGCACATAATCTACAAGGATCGGCATTAGCGTCGTCTTGGTAGTTAGCTGTTTGATGCTGGCCAGCTAAAAGAATCCGATTGTCAATGGCATATTGAAGGAAGGCTTTAGGCTGCCAGGCTACTCACCTGTTTGGCTAACGCATGTCGATACATGTTCGCCACACGCTGCTGCCGGAACACCTCATACTCTAGCTCGACAGCGATGGCCTCGTAGTCGTTGTGTCTTAGAACGCTGCGTGGCTGCTGGCTCGAGTCGCTCTCACACTGCTGCACATTTGCCTTGAGTGCATCTATGATTGCATCCAGATATTTCTCTCGGTTCGTGTGCTGCAGTCCACTGATTTTTGTCTCCGTCGACTGCGCTTGATGCACACGCGCTATCTGCGTGGTTGGCTCCTGCTCCAGCTGGCGTGCAGCGGTTAGCTGTTTGCGCAGCTTAAACTGTTCTCGGATAAAGCTCTCATTTTCCTTTTTGGCTCTTTTCGCAAGAGCAGCGTGGCTATGTTCAGAGTCTTGGTCAGAGCTATCACTGCCATAATCCTGGGCTGCGCGTTTGATGCCCGCTCGACCACCTAAAATGCCAAGCCGGAGCCAACGTATTAAAAAAAAGTTAGAGAGAATCCTGGCACTAAACATACCCTCATAAAGATCGGCGCAATCCGCAAGCGACACGTGCGACTTGAAGGTGGCATCCATGCAGAGCCGCTGAAACGTCTCCAGTGCTTTCTCAGCTTGTTTGGGTCTCTTGCACACATCACATTGACAGCTGCAATCGGGTGTGGGATCGCCGAAGTAATCGGCAAAGAGTTTGTGCCGGCAACGCGTCTGCTCGCAGAACTCCACAATACGCTCGAACTGGCGCAGGGCGCGCTCAGTGAGCAGCTCGCGATCACCACGACCCCGAGCCCGCTGCGCATCGCTTTGCAGCAGAAAGCGTATGGAGCGCACATCCTCGCGTCCATAGTAGAGACGGCAGTATGACTGAAGGCCGTCGCGACCCGCGCGACCTGATTCCTGATAGTAGGCGGCCACATTTTGCGGCACATCCCAGTGGATGACAAATCGTACGCTGGGCTTGTCCACGCCCATACCGAAGCTGTTGGTGGCACAGATGATGGGCTGATCACCGCGCATCCAAGCCTCCTGGACTTCGGTGCGCTCAGCGGTCTTTAGCCCCGCATGGTACGCCACGGCGCCGACGCCCTGCTTAGATACGCCCACAGCGACTCGTTCCACCTGATCTCGGGTTCGACAATAGATGATGCCACAGCCTCGCTTTGCCTTTGGCTCGGCCTTAAACTTGGCTTCATCACCCAGACAGTGCTGGGCAAAGGCGGCCAAATGTTGAAAGTCGTCCTCAATGGAGTTCTTGTACACAATATCGTAGTAGAGATTGGACCGAAAACTGGGTGTACTGAAGTGAGCCACGGGCTGGCGTAAGCGTAGCTGCTTATGAATATCCTCGCGCACCTCCTTTGAAGCTGTTGCCGTCAGCGCCAGCCAAACTACATCCGGATACTTGGAACGCAGCTCGCCCAGCTTCAGATAGTCAGGCCGAAAGTCATGACCCCACTGGGAGACGCAGTGCGCCTCGTCAACTGCGAAATAGGCCAACTTCTTGTGTTTGTACAACGAGTGAAGCAACTCCTGAAAAAACTTGGTTGCTGCCTGCTCGGGCGTTATATACAGGAACTTGATCTTCGTCTTGACGGCCCGCAGATCCATAATGACACGCTCGCGCTCCTTGCTGCTCATTTTCGAGTTCAGGGAATCTGCCTGCACTTTGAGCTTGGCCAGGTGATCGATCTGATCTTTGATCAGCGCCAGCAGCGGCGAAAAAACAATCGTCAACTGATCCTCGCACATCAAGCCTGGCAGCTGAAAGCATAGCGATTTGCCCGATCCTGTTGGCATTGACACATACACATCCTGTTTTTCTGCAAGGGGGAAATGTCCGTATAAATAAGTAATTTCCAAATGCATTTCAGCTTCTGCTTACTTTTCACGGCGCATGTGACAGCACGCTCTTGCAGCTCCGATTTAAAGCTCTTGTGGCCAAAAAACTTTTCGAGCGCTTCCTTTATACCGCTTTTCTCCGTCATTACGCTGGCACTTAAAATCAGACAACATTAACAGAAATAACACATTATAAATGAATTCACATTCCCGAATTGTTGCGTATTTTTTCGGCGTGAATGCCGCCAAAACAGCTGTGATAGCGATGGAAGAAGCGATTCTCCAGGGTTGTAAGTGATAGCCCATTCAATAGCGATGTATCGTTCATCGTTAACATTAACTTTAAAGCACAGCTGATAGCAAGCACGCATTACAAGGCAAAAAAAATATATATAAAATTGCCAATCTATCTAATAACAATATCTACGGAATGCTCTGTTCTTACCTTTTATCAGTTCATACGTTCCGCTCAAAAGCTGACTGAGCTGCTAATTTGTCGTTTGCGTACAAAATAATTCCACTGTGCCGCTGTGCTGCCAACTTTTCTTCCGAATTTAAATACAAAAGCAGCCAAGAATATTGCTGTCCATAGAAATGCCGAATAATTACAATTGTTTTGTTTATTGCTGCACCGGTATTGTGAGCGCAAATGCATTTAACAGGTAATCCATGTGACCTTTCATCAGCGCCAGCAGTGGCGAAAAACAACTAATATTCGCACATCAAACCTGGCAGCAGAAAGCATAGCGATTGCCCGGTCCCGCAGGCATTGAGTCATATACATCCTATTTCTGTGTAAGGAGGTAACATTCGTATATATAAGCACTTTATAAAATCCTTTCAGATTCGGCCTACTTTTCACAGTGCATGTTACAGCACGATCTTGCGGCTACGATTTATAGCTATTGTGGCCGGCAAACTTCGCGCGCCTCGTTTATACTGCTTTTATTCGTCATTATAGTGCTGGCACTTGAAATCAGGCAAATTTAACAGAAACTACACATAATAAATGAACTTATTCCCGAATTGTTACGAATTTTTTCGTCGCGAATGCCGCCAAAATTTCTCTTATAGCGATGGAAAAAGTTACTTTTCAGGGCTGTAAATGATACCTCATTCAATACATCGATATATGTATCATTGATCGCTAACTTTAATAAGCCATTCAATACATCGATATATCGTAGATCATTAACAGTTATATTAAATCACAGTAGATAGTAGAATTGCTAAATTTCGTACCGAAAGACAAAAAAAAAATTAAAACTGCCATTAAATCCAATAATTGTGCGTGCAATAACTACATTTTAACTCGGTTCTTGTTCCTTGCGCTTCTCAATTCAACCTTTCCGCCAAAAACAGCTGACTGAGCAGCTAATATGTCTTTTGCGCCGGCAATAAGTGAGCCACTGTGCTGCCAACTTTTCTTCTGAATCTGAATAATTAAAAAAGCGCCAAAAAATTGCTGTGCACACAATGTCTGACTTATTACAATTTTTCTGTTTATTGCTGCAGTTAAATAATAATAAGGACTTTGATTGAGAATTGGCAATAGTTTGCATGATATACCAATACAGGTACTATTTAGAATATATAAATACATAAATAAGTGTCAGCACAGCTTATTTTAAACGAATTAATTACAATACAATCCATTGATAATTATAATTGATATTCTGTATGCTAGCCTTCAAAGTGCTAGCAATTGTGACGTCAGAGTTGGCAACATATGTCTCAACTTGTGGCATTGGCTACATAACAGTGGAAGGTGCGTTTAACATTCTGGTTAGCATTAACATTCTGAATTTTTAACATTATGTTAGCTGCCACAGTTCGGTTAACACTATGTAAGTGTCGCAGCTCTTCTTCTGGTTTTAGTCAACTTTCCGCGCTCGGTCTGTACGAACGTGTTTGCCCGCGTTGCGCTCGGCATCTGTTTCGCTGTGAATGTGCTGCGCGTCTGCGAGTGAGAGTGTGTTTGAGTGCGTTACATATATTGTTGTTGCTTTGTAATACATTCTGCTATCGAAACCAAAGAGCATATTGCCTGCACCTGCACATCATAAAATGCACAGTAAGAAACAGCAGCAACAACAAAAAAAACACCAGCAGGCTCGTGCAATGCCGGCAAAAACAACGTAATGCATTATGTTGTCCGTGTGCCTTGTGTCTCTGTGAGCTAGTGCGTGTGCTTCTCTTTTCCTCTCACTCTCGCTGTGACCAAATTTATTTACGGTATCGCGCAAAGCAAAGTGCAATAAAATCAACAACAACAACAACAGAAGCAAAAGCCGGCAAGGCCATAAAATTTTTCGACTGTGCGTGTATTAATCGTGTGTTTGATTGTGACAAACCTTTGCAACAACAACAACAACAGCAACGACAACAAAATGTTAGCCCCAAAGCTTGCATTGAAATGTGCGCAACAACAAAACCCACATCTGCCCAGCAGAAGCAGAAGAACAACAACAAATTCCGCCTGCCTTGTGATATTCAGCAGTCTGTTTTTGTTGTTGCTTACAACAACACAGGCACAACCCCAACACCCAGAGGGCAGCTCCTTAGCTGGCGCCAATCTCGCTGCACTGGCCGCCCCAGGACCAGTGGCTGGTCCGGGCGCCTCCTCCGCCGTGGCCGGCGGCTCATCGATCCTCGACCAATTCAGCCCCAACTGCAGCGCCGTGGCGCACATTTTCCAGGCACGAGGCATCGATGCCAATGAAATACCACAAAAGCCCAGCAACGGTGAGTACATAATTAAATAAATACACTTAACCCTTAGGCTGTTGATATTAATCTAAAAAAAATGCAAGCATAAGAAATATATTTTTCGCTCAATCATGTTAGAGAAATCATTTTTCACGGTTTGCCACTTTGATGATGTACTTTATCTTACCAGTGTGAACACACAAGTTTATAGTTGGACTCAACCAATACACTCTGTTTTCTCTTTCGAAGCAGAGTATAAATTGAATAATAATTGAAACTTAAAATTGGGTTTTGTAAATACATTATTTTAGAAAACTTATAAGAGCTGGTTCTGGGATTATATCAGAAATGACATACGGGTATTATTATTAAGTCACAATGTTTTGCAATGCTCGCTGAAAAAAACATTATAAACAGCTGACTATTATATAAAAAAAATGGTCGAAATTTTTGAAATACTGCGGTTCTTAGACATATTTAAAATACTTATTCGTTTTAAGCAAAACAATTTGCTTTCCAAGCTTCAGTCTAGGCTTGGACTACACATATCCAGTTAAGATTAAAGCAAAAAAAACTCTCTTAAAGTCGCATTGCTTGATTTCTCTCAAAGCTAATTCGTAACCCGCCTGAACCTAAGCCAAATGGCACCAGATAGTCTACAAACTTTTGCCGGCTCGACAGCAATTTGCTTATCAATCGGCCTTATCAGTGGCCCTACCGCATGCCCACCCACCCCACAGCTTCCCAGCTCCCAGCTAACCTACTTATATACCACCTGGGAATACGAGCGTACAAGTTTACAGTTGAGCAACTGTCGATGTTGAAGAGTCGAGTCTGCGGTGTGTGGAGGCAGGGTCTCAGGTTTATCTAAACGCTGGCGCTTATCAGGAGAATGCAGAAGAAGAGAACCAATAAAATTTATGACTCACGCAACATTCGACCAACAAAAAGAGGCTGCAACTCGGTGTTTGGCTAACTTATCTAACCAAGAACTGAGCAAGAGCGACAGAAAGAGAAAGAAGCAGAGTGTGAGAGAGCAAACAAAGAAAGGTTCACAAATGCCGACAGACAGAGAATAAAATCCTGGAGTGGACTGAACTGGATTGGAGTGCATAATTTAAACGATTTCAATGACACCTTGATTAATATCAGTCCAACAACAAGCACAGGCTTTACCTGTTCTACTCCTCACTCGTACTCTCTCTCCCTCTCCCACTCTCTCTCTTTCTTCCTCTGTCCTTAACAATTCCATGAAATTATGAACGAAACGCAACGCAACGTGTTGCATTTGACCAAAAGATAAAGAAACATTGGAATACCGATGAGAAAAGAAACAAAAAACAAAAAAAAAACCAATCAAGCAACGTTGAAAACCAAAAATAAACAACGCAACACGGCGGCAGGTAAAGAGCAGAGGTGACAGGGGAAAGGGTGGGCGAGCAAAAGGCAGAGGCTGCAACAGTTTACCTGAAAACAAATCAAATAAACGTAAAAACCAAAACGAAAGAGTGGGAATCGAAATAACAGAGACAGGGATAGGGGGCGAGAACGCGCGAGAGCGAGAGAGAGGGATAAGAAGAGAGCATTGGGCTGGTCAAGTTATTGCAATTAAGCGTGATTAATTCAGGCTTTATACAAATTAACTAAAATCTACAAAAGAAGCTCGCGTCCCAGCCCAACAACACAGCTTGGCCTAGGCCCAAGCAACAACAGCAACAACAACAACAACAACAACAGCAGCAACAACAACAAACAGAACGAGAACAACTGCTGTTGGTCAGTGTGTAAAAGCGGTGTGACAACATTTTTCTGCCTCTGCGCTCCGAAACAGATTTCTTTGATTTTTGTTTTTTTTTTTTTTGATTTTTTTGTTGTTGTTGCGCCAAAGGAATTTCTTGGGAGACTTTTCGTAGTGGCTGCTGCTGGAGACTGGTCTTGAAACTGGTACCCTTTTTCTTTTGAAGGGGAGAGAGGGTACGGCAAGAAGGGAGCAGACGATGAGCAGTCGACGCATGCGCCAAACTCGCTGACTGGACAGTGGAACCATCCAAGCGATGAGCTCTGCCCGCCCCGTTCCGTTCCGTTCCGTCCCTTCCTTTCCTTTCCATCCTCCGATGTAAACTTATTTAGAGTTTGGATTTTTTTTTTATCGCTCCGTTCGTTTTCAAGTTAATTTGCGTGGAATTTTATTTCCTTCTTTGTGTTGGTTTCTCTTTGGACCCAGCGCTGCGTTGGAGGAGTTGCAGGCATGAATCATGGACAGAAGACAAAGGGCAGACGAGGAGGTGTCGGTTCGTGAGACTGTTCCAAAGTTATTAAATTACACATTCGCCAATAGAGCAGCTGAGCGTGTATTTGCATAGCTCGAATACTGTGGCAACAGTGGAAGCGAGAAGGTGCCTGGTTCGAGTCAAAGGCTTGAATGTTGCAGGAGCCACAATACAATTTTAAGTGGCCGACACTTTGATGCCATTCCCAGGTCACATGCCGCACATTCCCTTCAGTCTGCTGCTTCATTAAACATTAAACAGAAACAACAACAGCTGCATAACACCTTCCTCATGCCAATAACAACAACAACAGCAGCAGCGACGACAACAACCGAAAGTACAACAACTGCCACTTAAACGCTTCATTAAAGTTGCACTTCCTGTGCGCCGTGCAATGGCAGGGAACGTTGCCCCAAAAGACAACATCAAAAAAGCTTTTGTGCAACCGCCTGCAACCTGCCCCCGGCCCGCTGCCTTCTCTTCTCACCTGGCTCAGCTCATCGTGGCACTTAGTTCAAATTGTTTGCACAATTTAAGCAGTTCACAAAACATTAAATCGTTAAAAATAATTCCAAAGAGACAGAGCGAGAGAGACAGAACGAAAGAGAGAGAGAGAGAGAGTGCTGGGGACTGCAGACAGGGGTAAAGAGTAGTAGACAACGGCAGCCAACTAAAACTCTTCACTCACATACGTTCAACATTCTCACAGTCGGAGATACAAAATCAAACACGGGTTGAGTCCAACATCTCTTGGCTGCCCCTACCCCTGCCCCTGGGGCTGGGCCTGGGCCTGGCCCTGGACGCTACTCCTCTGTCGTCACCGCTGCAGCTACCTTTGGCAAAAGGAAATTTACAGCGCCGCTGCTCCACTTAGGCTGCAACAGCGATGCATCCGCCGTCGTCGTCGTCGTCTTCGTTGCCAGGGCCAAGCGCACGACTATTAATCATTTTCCAGCGACCAAAACTAAATGGCCCTCTCATTCACTGCCATTTGGCCGCTCCCTCTCTCTCTCTCTCTCTCTCTTGCATCTCGCTCTTTTGGGGCCCTTTTTGCATTGTATTTGCGGCTGCTAACCGCATTCTTTAGTTGTGTTGCACAGCGGACCGGCCCGGGCAGCCAGGCAGACCAGGCCAGCCTATGTGGCACTATATCATCATTATGCGAAATAATTCCTAAAGATGTTGCATTGTTGACCATTGTGAGATTCGGTGTTGGATTTCAGCCAGATCTCCAACAAGAGCAGTGTGTGGGTTGATAATTTTATGGGGTGCCGTTGGTAAACATTTCGCAGAAACTTTATTGAAATTGATATAATCCATTCCGATTAGTTGAGTCAAATGTTAGAAGCTGAATTAACAGAAGTTCTGTCGAGGATTTATTAAAAAGATTTAATTGAGAGAGTTCCAAAGTAGTTAAGCTCCTGTAGAGATCATTTAGATGCCCCGAGCAGGTCCACCACGTGCTGGACGCATTGGAGTAGAAGGATATTGCGTTAAAGCCCTACTCCCTGCACCATATTTTAGCTTTCTGAGCTCATTCCTGACAGTCAAAGACCAAAGTTCGCGCGACAAAGGTATCAAAGCAGGAGTCCCGCAAGGCTGTATGCTTGGCCCTGTGCTGGCATCTATCGCTACAGGTTGCAAGGAACTCTGTGCAGGACTGGCTACTGCGGGTCGAAAGCTGGACTGCGTACTGGAATATTGCAAAAAATTTGCCAGGTCCGCCTGCGACACCTTCACGCTAATCCCAGATAACAAGTTGCCAGGCGCTACGGTTCATAAATGGATCTGCGAGCTATCTGAGAGTCTATGTGGACCGCAGTAAGTCTGGGATATCACATCACAGCAACCTAAACCAAATGGTTGAGAAGACTCCAAAAGCTCGGCTGGCTAGGTCGGAGATCAGATAAACTTCTTCGTAAGTTCTTTTAATATTTCCGCCGTGACAATTCTGTAGAATTACAGCTGCGAAGTTTTTTCTTGCAAGTACCAAAACTTTTAACAAATCGAGTTCCATTTGTTTGAAGTTTCTAATGCCTGTAATGGAATTCTCTTACTTATAAATCATTCTACAAGTTGTGTTCTTTTATAAATTGTTTGTAAGTCAATTAGGAACACTTTTGAGGGCTTTCAACATTTTGTGGCTTAAGTTCATGACATTCCATTGAGTTGCACTTTGTTGCAGCATTCTTCTCCGAATGCCCTTTGTTCAGATGTCATATCAAGGGATCTAGACAAACCACTCGCCCCCTTTGAGCTCCATCCTTTTACATAACGTGGCAACGTTGGCTTTCTTGGTATTTACCGAGGCTGCAGACTCATTCCCCGACATGCTTATTATGTAAATGCTGGGGCGCCCACTCCTGACCCCCCTTTAGTGAGTCCAACATATTATTATCTGGCGTCGGCATATAACTTTGTTGCACACACAGTTTGCAGTTTGTAGTTAGTTGTTGTTGTTGTTGTTGTTGTTGTCGCTTGTTTGTTTGCACGATTTAATGCTTCATTTGGCTAGGCCCTGAAACTCAAGAGTCGCGCAGAGGCGCCGGAGGAGTGAGAGTCAGCCAAAGAGTTGAAGTACTGGGTCGCTTAACTGCTTTCAAGTACACCTAACAAGGCTAGGAAGTGGAGATTGAGATGAAAATGGGGGGAGAGGGAGAGGGAAAGGGGAGAGGGAGCGAAGGGAGCGAGTCTAGTCTAAGCTCTTAACTACTTAATTATCTGTGAGCTTCACTCGGAACTCAAATGGACCGACGCCTATGGGCT